CAGAGATTTGGAAGGTCAATTAGCTCGATGGATGGAAAGATTACAGCAATACGAGTTTGAGATTATCTATCGTAAAGGGATTTCTCACAATAATGCTGACGGATTGTCTAGAAGACTTTGTGAATCAAACAATTGTCAATATTGTGCAAAAGTGGAAAAGAAAAATTCAGAGGAGAGGGAACAAACAGTTTCTCGTATTGTGTTCGAAGGCGAAAATTTGGAAAATTGGCGTGAAATGCAACGACAAGATCCTGACATTTCATTTATTCTTCGTGCCAAGGAAACAAAAATTCGTCCCCCACGCTCAGAAATAGTCGGAGAGGACATTTCAACTCTAATATATTGGTCGTATTGGGATTCTTTGATTGTGAAAAATGGGATCCTCTATAAAAAATGGGAAGCTCCAAATTTAAAATCAAATTTTCTCCAACTCGTGGTTCCTCGAGTACGAATAAAGGAAATATTAGAGGAGACGCATGATTCTCCAACAGGAGGACATTTCGGAGCCAATAAGACTCTAGGAAAAATTCGAAAACGATTCTTCTGGGCAACCTGCAAACAAGATGTTGAGGAATGGTGCAAAACCTGTAAAATCTGTGTTTCAAAAAAAGGTCCTTCAGGAAAAGGGAAATCTCCTCTACAAATTTTTAACGTTGGAGCTCCATTAGAGAGAATACAGATGGACATACTTGGTCCTCTTCCTTTGACAAGATCCGGAAACAAATATTTGCTTGTTATCGTAGATTGCTTCACTAAATGGGTGGAGGCTTTTCCTATTAAAAATATCAGAGCTAAAATGGTCGCTGAAGTCTTTGTTAATCAATTTATCTCAAGGCATGGAATTCCAAGTGAAGTTCACACTGATCAAGGGAAGAATTTTGAATCACAACTTTTTTCAGAATTAATGAAATTACTCGGGATAAGAAAAACCAGAACTACCGCCTTGCATCCTCAATCTAACGGACAAGTAGAACGCCAACATCAGACTATTTCAAATTTCCTAGCGAAATACGTATCGGAAGATCAAAAAGACTGGGATCGATGGATTCCCATGTTTCTTTTAGCTTACAGATCTTCGAAGCATGAAACCACTGGCGTGACTCCGGCAGAGCTATATTTTGGTAGGGAACTAAGGTTACCAGTGGATCTTTTACGAGGAAATCCTGAATCTTCTGAAGGAAGACTTCCAAGAAAAAATTTTACTAGAAATCTAAAAGAGAAATTAAAAGAAATTCATTCTTCGGTTAGAGAGCGAATGAATCTGAAATCTTCTCAGATGAAGATTCGTTATGATCGTAGTGCCAGAGGAATTCTTTTCGAAGTAGGACAGAAGGTTTGGTTTTATAATCCTCGTAGGGTTAAAGGGAAAGCTCCGAAATTACAAGGAAGTTGGGAAGGTCCATTCCGGATAGTAAAAAAACTTAGTGACGTGGTGTTTTGCATAGAAAGATCGTCTAGACATAAGAGGAAAATTGTACATTCAGATAGATTAGCTCCTTTTCTCGAGAGAAGTTTAGAAAAATAATTAAGTAGATTGGAGCCCGAAAATGTCGATTTTCATTTAAAAATTCGGGGGGATGTTTTAATTTAAAAAAAATAGAATAAGTTACTGCGCATTTTATTTTTCGTTACAGAGTCTTCAATTTGGAAAGAAATTTGTCTTTGACCTGAGAAAAGTTTCCTGAATGGCGGAAAAATTGATCTCCCAGCTTAGTCTTCGAGGGAGAAAATCTTCATCCGTCTTTATTCTACTCTAAGAAGACTGTCTTGCCCGCGGTTTTTGATCCGTGGTTTTCCCGCGGGACTTTGGGCAAATGCCGAGACAGGGACTTGGGGAGTCCATGAGGGACGATGGGTCCACGGAAGATACCCCCCCCCCTTGTCTGAACCGGAGGACGAAGGGAGACTGGGACTTATCTTCAAGGAATTTTGAAAGTCGATTGGGACCAAATTGACGGAGTCGCTCGGTAACCTGCGGCAGCAGCCCAGGGTAGGGCAGGAAGACTCGTCGGTGCCCTGGAATCGACAATTGATACAGTTGTACTGTGGACTTGGATTGGCGATTATAGTCCAACGGATGTGCGACGGGATCCAGAATGGCGGATTGTTTGGTAACCTGTGGCAGGAGCCCAGGGTAGAACAAGAAAATTCGTCAGAGTCCTGAGGTCGGCATCGGAATGCAGAGTTATTGTACAGCGTTGGATAGCCCTCTGTTTTTGATTGTCGGGACGACAATCTTGAAGAACGGGGGCAGTGTTACGTCCCTGATCTTTCATCCCCTGAATATCATCCCTTGTGTCGTGGAGCTTCATCGTTAAGGGGGGTTGTTTATTGACAACCGCCCGGTGGTTGTTTTCAGGCTCCATGACAGTTTTGGTCTAGCTGTCATCTCGTACGGACGTGACTTGACCAGAGAGCAATCTTCTTTCTTTCGCGTGTACATTAGTCATTGTATTTCATCATTGTATAAAGGATCATTTCTTCATAAGAGAGTGTATTTATTTCGCGAGCCGCGAGTGAGTGAGAGTGTGTGCGAGAGACGTCTTTTGCGAGAAAGAACGTCTGGAGGACGTAACAATATGTAAATTTACTTCAATAACTAAATAATTTAATTTGTACAAATGATAATATTGTATAATTTTAGTTGATTTCAATTATCTTTTTTATAGATACACTTGATAAGGGCCAGTAATTGTTGGCCGAAACGTTGTGTAATTTCTTATTTTTGTAATGTGCCAGTTTGGTCGTATTGAATAAATTAAAAGTTATTTATTTTTTAATCATCACTGGCGATTTCAATTTATTGAATGTTTTTTATATTTCTTATTCTTTCAGCCGTATTTATTTCTAACAGCCACTTTGCAGTCAGTAGAGAGGATGGGAAAGGATGGGCTGGTAGCAGCCGCAAATTGAACGTTGAAAACTCTCGTTCGGCCGCTCAGTGGCTCGCTTCAAACACAATTATTTTTTGTCCTAAATTTTCTATTAAATATAGAGCTATGAATTTTAGCGAATTCAGAATATTAGACAAACTCGGCGATCGGTGATGCAATCCAACATGCGACAAAATAAACATATAAAAAGAAAAATTATATTTAATATTATAAAATAAAAAATAATATAAAACAAAAAATATATTTTAAATTTTAACTAAATAATTCCACTCTTGACCAATATGTACGTCTTTTTATTTAAAAAAGAATTTATTTTTAAACAAATAATTGTAATAAAATAATATTTTAATTTATAAATATTGATAAAGATTTTATTCGTTTTGTTTCTTATTTATTTTATCTCGTATTAGTATACGACGTACATACATATCGTTGCTCAACGGAAACCGCCAGGTGGTGGTTTCTTCCGTCAAAAAATTTAAAATATCGTATATTGGGAAATGTCAACATAAATAATTTTAAAAGTAAATAAAAAATAAAATAAAATGAAACGAAATAAAAGTTATTCGAATTTAAATTAAAAAGCTGCTGTTAATACCAAATTGATTTGTATTAGCTGTTATAAGAGAGCCTTCTTGGTAAGGAGAGACTTACTCCAATCTTCTCGCGTAATGAATTTACATCAAATCTTTGATATAATCGAATACTTTATTAAGAGCTTACTGGAGAGCTACAAGATGCTTCTCAACGTTTGCAAATATTTGTTGTATTTCGCGGTCCGCGTCAACCAAATTGCGTCCATTATCCGAGTATATATCCGACGGTATTCCTTTTCTAGCCATAAATCTCTTCAAGGAGTCGAAGAAAGCTTCCGTTGTCATGTCTTCCACTAATTCAATATGTACAGCTTTCGTAGCCATACATATGAATATTGCCGCATAGACTTTGTATTGCTTACTGTTTTGCCTTACTCACGTATAAAGAACAGTCCACAATAATCAATTCCGACTTTCGAAAAGGGCCTGGAGATTTTAACCCGATCAGCAGGTAATTGTCCCATCAATTGATATCCTGGAATAGGACGCGCTTGTACTGTATACTACACATTCCTTCAAATATTTCTTAACCTGACTTCTAGCGAAAATGGGCCAGAACTCCTCTCTAACTGCAGACAAAGTAGTGTTTACTCCAGCGTGTAGTAATCTTCTATGGCGATCCAAAATAACTAATTTCATGAAATAATGAGAGGCAGGAATCAGCAATGGATGTTTGATTTCTTCAGGTAGGTGTGAATGCTCCAATCTTTCTCCTACTCTTAGCAATCCACTTTCATCCAGATAAGGCTTTGAGACTAATTAATTTTGATTGCTTGTGCAACGTTTGCTTGTTTTTCAGTCTTTCAATTTCAGTCTTCCAAGTTTCAGTTTAAATTGACTTAACTAATATATCTCTAGCTTCCCTTAAATTTACAGCAGACAAATGTTTTATTTTATGCTTTTCTTTATCACATTTTAGATTATATATAAACCTTAGCGAGTAAGCCATAACACGCAATAATTTAAATAATGATGAAAATCTTTTAAAGTCTATCACAGATTCATGTATTTGGTTTAAACAGACTAACGCTTTCTTCCTTTCCTCAGGTACGCATTCCGTGCTAATTCTGTCTCCTTCCGGCGGAGAAAAGGTATTCCCTGATTTCAACTACTTAGGGCCTTCCCACCATAAATTAGAATTTTTTAATTGTTCTGGCGTGGTACCTCTTGAGATCAGATCCGCAGGGTTATCCTTTGACTTTACATAACGCCATTCGGTAGGCGATGAGTTACTGTGTATTTCGCCTATTAGCTACAAAAAAGTTCCATCTTTTAGCAGGAGAACCTATCCAAGCTAATACAATTTGAGAATCGGTCCAATAGACCTGGTCATGCACCTTTACGCTCAAACCAGTCAACACTTTTTTCATCAAACGAATTAATAATACCGCGCCGCATAACTCCAATCTTGGCAATGATAAGACTTTTAAAGGAGCCACTTTTGACTTAAGGCGGTAGTAATCTCTCCTTTCGAATTTCTACAGCCCATGTAAATGCAAGCTCCATATGCCTGTTCACTGGCGTCGCTAAATCCATGTAAAATAAGCTTATCCACCTCATTACTCTCGACTATTAGCCTAGGTATATTTATCGATTCCAATTCGGACAATTGCGATCTAAACATTAACCAGGAATTCTGAATGTTAGCTGCTACAGAATCATCCCAACCTATCCTCCAGGTCCACAAATTTTGCATTAGTATTTTCGCGAATGTTATTACTGGACCTACCAAACCTAAAGGATCGAATAGCCTGGAAGTATCAGACAATATCATACGCTTGATGACACGTTTATCTTTATTATTATTTACGGGAGCTACGAAACGTAGCCTATCCTACATATGTCCTCTTTTGAGTTCCATCTAATGCCTAGCAACTTAGATTCCTGACTTTTTTCTATTTCGATAAAGTCCTCCTGTTCAGAAGTGTCCTCTTTACCTTCTATAAAATTACTATGCCATTTATGCAAATCGAAACCTGCTCTCTTTAACAATTCAATTAACTGTTGCTTTAATTGTATAATTTCTTTCTTAGTATTAGCGCCCGTTAACAAATCGTTCATATAAAAGTCTGTTTCTACGACCCTAGCTGTTGTAGGAAAGTCTCATCCTCCGCAAGCTGTTGTATGCACCTAGTTGCTATAAACGAAGCCGGTTTAGTTCCATAAGTTAATGTGATTAATTCGTATAATTTGATGGGTTCCCAAGAGTTTTCTCTTCTTAAAATTGTTTGTAAACGCGTTTGCTCTTTGTCAATCAATATCTGTCTATATATTTTAGTTATATCTGCTGTTAGAACATATTTAAAACAACGAAACCTTAATATTATTAAGAATAAATCAGATTGTATAGTGGGACCCTTATGCAGCGCGTCATTTAAAGAAATTATTTTATCATCCTTACTAGATGCATCAAATACTACTCGCACTTTTGTTGTCTCACTAGATTCCATGACAACAACTTGATGAGGTAAAAATATTCTTAAATTATCATTCTGTGAATTATCTAAGGCTCTCATGTGCCCTAAACCTTCATATTCTTTTAAAAACTTAACATATTCAGTCTTTAAATCGGGGTTTCTAGCTAACTTTTTCTCCAACAATAAAAATCTTTTCATTGCTATGTCTTTGGAATTTCCTATGTCTTTAAGCACGTTTTCTTTTATAGGTAATTGAACTACAAATCTTCCTTGCGAGTTTCTACTATGCGTCTCTTTAAAATGCTTCTCACAATACATATCTTCAGATGTTGTGCTTTGACTTTCCTCATCATTTTCGACTTGCCAAAATTTCTTAAGAGTCTCGTCTAACTCCTGTATACAACTTAAATTACAAGAAACGTTCATACTATTTTTAGGTGACGTTATCTTTCTTGCTACTATCCAACCAAGTAATGTTTTTTGCATAATGGGCTTGTTGACTCCTAATTTGATTTGTCCCACGCATATCATGTCCCAGAACTTTCAGCTCCTATTAATAAATCTATCTCAGAAGGAATATTAAATTGTGGATTTGCTAATCTAATATTTTTTGGTATCTTATAAGAATCTTTATTTAATCTTATATTAGGAACTCTTTGTGTAATGGTATGTAATACTACGCATCGTAATTTGGTAGTAAAAGATTCGAAATGAGAGCTTATTTCTAAATCTGTTATTTTTAATGCGTTAGATACTTGCTGATTAATACCCTTTATCTCGATATGCGAATTATTAATGTTAATTTTTAATTTCTTAACCTGTGAATCAGACATAAAATTAGCCTGCGATCCATTGTCTAATAACGCTTTGGCTTTCACATAATGACCGTCCTTGTGCTCTATCTTCACTACGGCGTGAATAGTAATACTTGACTCGAAGCTGATACTTCGTTTAAATTAGAATGATTGCATACTACATTATCTGTGTCTTTATCTGTTGCATCTGCTTCTTTATGACCTTGTTTCGATTTTGATTCTGATTTATCAACGATATCGACATGTAAAAGTAAATTATGACGTTTACTACAAATTTTGCAATTTCTTGATGTACAATCTCTCGCAAATTGCTTGCCTCTCAAACAATTTAGACATAATCTTTTAGATTTTGCGTGTTTTAATCGTTCATTAACAGTTAACTGCTTAAACTCTATGCATGAATGAACATTATGCTCACCTTGACAATATGTGCACTTGACGTTGAATGTAACAACATTACAGCTATTTACTTTGTGTTGACTACCTTGACGCAAAGATGGGCCAGTTACATTACTATAAAGATTTTTTCCACCGTTTCTAATGTTTGTGTTGATGAAAACGATTTGAAGATGTGAGGGAAGAGTCTCTGAAGAGAATTATCGAGCAGGTTGAGGAGAAAAAAATAGTTCACTCGCGTTTTTCTCTCTTAACAAAATGGTAGTAAAAATAAACTTTATTTCTCGGACTCGTTGCTTGTACAAAAAAATATAAAATTATATAAAGACAGATTCCGACTCTACGATAATAGCGTGCTCTCTCGCGAACTGCCGAACACAAAGTGATACCGGAAACCGGACACGCGCGCTTTCGAGCCCTTTACGCTAATCTCGGACTCTTATTCGCCGAGCGTTCGCCCGTCTCTGATTGGGCGATCGCGCCTCTCATCCGACCCGCAACGAATCACCTCAATACTTCCGCCGTTCGTGCGCGGTCGCTTTCGTATGCCGATTTCTTCTCTCAGCTCACAAAAACGATTCCTTGGAAGCGCCTTCGTGAAGATATCGGCTTTCTGCTTTGCCGACTCGACATAGTCGACCTCGAGTTCTTTCCTCTGAACTCGCTCTCGGACGAAATGGTATCGGACGTCGATATGCTTCGTCCTCTTGTGAAACTCTGGGTTCCTCACCAGACGAATCGAACTTTGATTGTCCACATAGATTGTCGTTGTCCGCTTGCTGAGACAGTTGACTTCTTCGAGTAGCTTTCTCAGCCACACAGCTTCACATGCAGTAATTGACGCCGCCACGTACTCTGCTTCTGTGGTACTCAATGTCACGAGCTTTTGACGTTGACTCGCCCATGTGACAGGCCCACCTGCCACTTGGAACACATAGCCGGTCGTTGACCTCCTGGTTTCTACGTCGTCTGCGTAGTCGGAATCCGAATAACCCTCCAGAGTTATCTCATCGTTTTCGCTTTCTCGATACTCGATTTCGTAGTCCATCGTCCCTGCGACGTACGATAGAATGCGTTTTATCGCTTGCCAATGTTTTCGATTGTGTTTATTTAGGAATTTGCTCACTGAATTTACAGCAAACGCCAGATTTGGCCTCGACACAATCGACAGGAACATCAGCGATCCAACAGCTTCTCGGTATGGAACTTTCTCGATCCCCTCGTCGTTTTCCGACACCGGCAGCAACGTTGTATTCGGATCGCTCGGCACGCTCACCGACTTTGCCTCGGACATCCCGAATCTCTCGAGAATCTTCTTCGCATATTGAATCTGGTGTATGAAGATGGACCTTTTGTCTCGATCTCTCTCTATTTATACCCCGACAAATAGACTTCCGTCTCCGACCGTGATCTTGAATGCTCGTTTTAAGTACTGAAGCACAACTTCGATGACTCCTTTCGTTCTTCCGATGACCAGCCCGTCATCGACGAAGAGAGCGAGATAGGCCGTCTCGCCATTTATCTCTCCCACGAATATACACTTATCCGCGGATGTCTCTTGAAACCGGAACTTTCGCAGAAACGAACTGAACTTTTGGTTCCAGCATCTCGGTGACTGCTTGAGTCCGTACAGCGACTTTATAAGTCGACACACTTGCTCTTCTCGAGTTTCTTCATCTATGTTGAGTCCCTCAGGTATCTCCATGTAGATTTCCTCGTCTAGAGTTCCGTACAAGAACGCTGTTTGTACATTGAACTGTGCAATCTCGAGATTCTTTGACGCCGCGATTGCAAGAAGCACTCGCAACGAATCGTATCTTACAACCGGTGAGAACGTCTCCGTGTAGTCGATGTTCTTCTCCTGCATGAAGTCCCTGGCGCACAGCCGTGCCTTGAACCGACTAACCTGTCCTTTCTCGTTCTTGAGCTTCTTGAAGACCCACTTCGAATCGATAGGTTTCATCTTCGGATCCCTCTTGACTATATGCCACGTACCGTTCTTCTCATGCGACTCTAGCTCGGAGTTTATGGCTTCTCGCCATTTTGCTGCATCCTTGGACTCGACAGCCTCACGGTACGTGATCGGGATATCGCATTCCACCGCGTCAGCATCGTACCTCGACGGTTTCTTGATTGAACTCCTGTCTCGGAGCTTTCGCACTAGCTCGTTGACCTGTTGTCGACCTTCATCACACTGCTCGTTGTCCACAGCATTCTCAAAGACTTCGTCGTCCTCTGCTTCCTCGTCGGTGCTGTCGCCTTCCGCCGGAACTAGAACTTCTCGCTCGACTTTCGGCAAGATCACTTCTCTTGCATCTTTCGGTTCTGACAGCTTCACACTTCCGGTCGTCTCCCGGAACGTCACATCACGTGACACTGACACTTTCTTCAATACCGGGTCGAAAACACGATAGTTTGACGAATTGTTATCGTATCCCACGAAGATCATCTTCCTCGCTCGTGCGTCTAATTTGGTTCTTTTGTTTTTCGGCACATTCACGTATGCCTCCGAACCAAATATCTTCAAGTGATGCAGATCTGGCTTCACGCCCATCCACAACTCGTACGGGGTTGCACCACTCTCGTGCTCGATGCACCGGCTCTGTTGGCTAAATACACCGCTGTGCTGCAAGCCTCTGCCCACAAGTTCTTCGGAAGTCCCTTCGCCAACAGCATCGTACGCGCGCTCTCAACTAGCGTGCGATTGTCCCGTTCGACTTTCCCGTTCTGTTCGGGTGTATACGGGGCCGTATACTCTCGCTCGATGCCTCTCTTGTCCGTGTACTCCTCGAATGCTTGATTCTTGTACTCGAGACCGTTGTCCGATCGTAACACTCGTATGTTTCTTCCAAGCTTGTTCTTTATGAGCCGATCGAGTTTCTTGAACTTCTCTAGCACCTCGTTCTTGTGTTTGAGAAAATACGCGTACCGAAAATTTGTCGCATCGTCCTTGAACACGACCATGAATCGAGATCCTCCGATCGATTCCACTGACATCGGCCCGCATACATCTGAATGTATGACCTCGCCGGGCTCCGTGTCCGCACGCACACGCGTCTTCTTGAACGCCTTCCGCTGGAATTTGCCCTCCTGACAGGCTCCGCAGAAATCTTCCGCCCCATCAGTAAACTCGATGCCGTCGATGAGCTTCTCGCTCACCAGTTTACGCATTGCTCGAACGTTCACGTGTCCGAGTCGCTCGTGCCACGTCAGAAAACTCGTTTTTGCAACGCTCGCTTCGTTTTCGTCCTTTGCGCACTTCGTTTTGAATAGCATCCGATATAAATTGTTTGTTTGAATCACACCGTAACCGACGGTGAAACCTCGGTTGTCGAACTTTACGTATTCATCGAAAAAATACACCCCGATTTTCTTTTTCGCGCACGCGCCGACTGAAAATAGATTTTTCTTCAGTTCCGGTACGTAAAGAACTGTCTTGATATGTGATGCTATCCACTTCCCGTTCACGAACTTCTCGATATCGACCGTACCGATTCCCAATGCGTAACATACTTTATCGTCTCCGAGGGCGACTTCGTGCTCTCCCTTCGGCAACTCGCGAAAGTCTCGCAACCACTCGCGTCGGAACGTCATGTGCTGTGACGCTCCGCTGTCGGAAATCCAGCAGTCTTTCTTATCGGCTTTCAGTATCGCGCGCGCCAAGTCTGTCGGTATCTCGCCGAACCCGCTTTTACCGGCACTGCTTTTCCCGCTCTCGACAACAAAGGCACAATCGCTCGATTCACCCGTACCACGATTCCCCTCCTTTTTGTCCTTTTTGCACTCGCGCGCAAAATGTCCGAGCCCCTGACACCGAAAACACCGCACTTTCTTTTTATCTTTTCTGTCTTTAATGTCTTTACTGTCCTTTTTATTTTTCGCTTCTCGCGAACTTGCACTCGATTTCGATTTTTCTTTCGATTTCTTTGAAACCACGAACGCACTTTCACTTTCGTCATTCTCTGTCATTCTTGCTTCTTCTCGGAGCAACCGCTCTTCCAGGTTCCGCAACGTCTGCATATCCGGCGGCATGTTGTCCCACGCTGTCTGAAATGTCGCGAACTTCGGCGTCAGACTCCCCAGGATCTTCGCCATGATCACCGTATCGGTCACCGTTTCGCCCACGTCGAGCAACTGCGCTGCCATATTTTGCACTTTCGTAATGTGCTGTGTTATTAAATCGCTCGCATTCATGCGATACTCGTCGATAAACGCGTCGACAGCAACAGCTTATTTGATGCCGATTTCTGTTCATGTATTCGCGCTAATTTTTCCCACATTTCACACGCGGTCTCACACGTTAACATTGGCCTCTTTTGT